AAAACCTAACCTGTTTGCACGAAATACTTGCGATGAACTATAAAAAAATGATGAGAGGACAAATAGACATTCCTAACACCTTCTGTCAGGGTGTTACCATTTTAATTCCTAAGAAACAGGGAGACCTATTGGAACCACAAGACTTCAGGCCAATTACTTGTATCAACGGAGTTTATAAGATTTTAACATCCATTCTATCTAGTAAGATTGAATGTCACCTACGATCCAATAATTTGATGCCAACAGAGCAACTTGGTTGTAGGAAAGGAGCCCAAGGCTGTAAGGAGCTGTTGCTCATAGACTCATATGTTACAGGCCAAACGACCGCGAATAAAAGAAATTTGTCAATAGCATGGATTGATTACAGAAAGGCATTTGACTTGGTCCCTCACAGTTGGCTTTTAAAAATCTTAGAATTGTATAAAGTTGATCCATGTTTAATTGAACTCCTGAAGAAATTGATGAACTGTTATATGGTATATACCAGCGAGACTGCCTCAGCCCCCTTTGGTTTTGTCTTGCAATGGCTCCACTATCAATCGAGAGAGAAACGGATACAAAATAAAACTCAATGAATTGAGTGCAGTAATCAGCCACAGTTTTTATATGGACGATTTAAAACTTTATGCAAAGAACAAATCTCAGTTGCAATCTATGCTAAATACTGTGACTCAATTTATTGACTCAATACACATGTCACTCGGTATTGAGAAATGTGCTATTCTTCATGTGATTGAAGGGAAGCCAAGTAACTCTGAGAACATATTTAATGAAGCATTGCATATTAAACACCTAAAAAATGAAGAGCTATATAAGTATATTGGGATAGAACAGCATGTTAAAATAGCGAGCAAAGAGGCAAAAAACAGACTGATAGAGTCGTTGAAAAAGAGATTGAAAATTATTCTTACAACATACCTATCCTCAGGTTCATAAATAAAAGCTGTGAATATGTGGGTTATACCAGCCATTTCTTACAGTTTCGGAATTTTAAAATGGTCTACAACTTCATTCCAGGAATTGGATAGATTTATACGGACAAGTATGACTAAATACAGAATGCATCACCCGACTGCATCTATGGCAAGACTTTATTTATCAAGAAAGGAAGGTGGGAGAGATCTCATAAACATTGAAGAGGCATGCCGGAAACAAGAAATGACCCTCAGAGAATACTTCAAACAAAGTGAAGTACCTTTTCATAGGATAATGTGCAATCCTTTGTAATGGACACACAGCATTACAATTAACCACTCTAGAAACTGCTGCATCCGTAATTTTCACGGACAATGACCGACTGGAAGAATGGAAGTCAAAAACCCTACATGGAAGATTTTTTCACCAACTTCAACAAACTGAAATAGATAAAACATTCTCTACAAGTTGGTTGGTTAAAGGAAACCTGTTTCCCGAGACAGAGGGCTTTCTGACAGCAATCCAAGATCAGGTCATAGCAACGAGGTCTAACTTGCGACATATCTTGAAGCAACAGACAGTATCAGACAAGTGTAGGCTCTGTGCCAGCACGTTCGAGTCTATTCAGCACATAACTGGAGGGTGCGGAGCGCTGGCTGGTACAGAATATCTCAAGAGACATGACGATGTTGCAAAAATTTATCATCAGGCAATTGGTCTAAAAATAAAGTTAGTGAATGATTCAATACCTTATTATAAGTACAACCCTAAAGAACTTATCCAAAAGGAAGGAATGAAATTGCATTGGAATCAATCTTTTATAACAGATCATACTGTGCTGCATAACAGACCTGATATCGTGTTGATCACCAGTAATATCAAAACAGCAGAGATAATAGATATCGCTGTACCAAATGATGGGAACACCAACTCAGTATGCGCCGAAAAAATACGGAAATATCAAACTCTTGCAGCAGAGTTAAAAGATCTCTACAGACTGAACAAAGTGACAGTAAGGGCTTTAGTGATCTCTAACAATGGTCTGATTCCAAAATCCACTGTAGAAGCTACCGAGAAGTTGGGCCTACAACAGCTACGATAAATGAAGCCCAGAAAGCTGTGCTGCTGAACACTGCGAGAATAGTAAGGAGCTTCCTTAATATCCAATAAAACTACAAAAATTAACGTGAAGTGGTTGAAGTTAATTCTTCCCCACTCCAGGAAAATACCTTTTTTTAAAGTGATAAAAATAAATAATAATAATAAAACATCAGTTTATAATAAAAATTAAAAAATTGAAAATAAACATGAAGTAAAAATAATAAAGAACGATCTAATAATTTATATACATATTTACAGTAGTAACTATTCACAATTTTATAAGGACTGGATGGATAAGAAATGATTAAACAGTTGGGATTTAAAGGTAGGAAGGGTTTTGGATTGACGGATGTGGGGAGGGATGGAGTTCCATAGGGAACAGGATCGAATAATAAAAGATTTATCGAAAGCAGCGGTTCGGTGGGCTATTATATATAAATCTGAAGACCGGGAACGGGTATTGCGGGAGTGGACAGAAGATTTAAATTGAAGGAGCTCGGCGATGTATGAAGGATGGCGGGAGTGAATTACTTGGAAGAGGAAGGATGCCAGGAAATACTTATGGTGGTAGGAAGGATAAAGCCACTTCAACTCTTCATAGAAACAGGAAACAGGGGCGTCTCTTGGGATCCAGAAGATGAATCGTACAAAGCAATTTATCAAACGTTTTAGTTTCGCCTCGAGATCCCCAGAGACGCCTCCATATACCGTGCAGTAATAGTCGAAGTGTGGAAATATTAAGGAGGTGACCAGGAATCTACGGATTTCAAAAGGAAAAAAAAAATTTAATGGCATTATCATGTAGGAACAGGGTTGGAAAGTCAGGAACAGTTATGAGGAGGTGATTGGAGCCTATTAGGATTGCCATGGTCTTTTCCACATTCAACTGCAGCTTGTTAGCTCCTGCCCAGTCATATATTATATTTAAACCTTCTTGAAGCTTTTTTGTGGTGGCTAATAGGTCAGAAGAGGGGAAGGACAGGTATATTTGGAAATCGTCAGCATAGATGTGGTATTGGGAGTGATGGATCTGGAGGGGAACGTCATTAATGTAAATAGCAGAGTAGGAGACAAGGAGGAACTCTGAGGGACACCACAGGAGAGGGAAAGTGTCTTTGAAGGAGGTTGATCTGGGATGACTACATATTGGGATCGATTGGAAAGGAAGGATTTGAACCAATGCAGGACATTGTTGGATAGAGGAAGATTTTGCAATTTGGTAAGAAGGATGTTATGGTCAACTGTATCAAACGCTTTGGAAAAATCTAGAAGGATGAAGATAGTAAGGTTTTGGTGTTCAATGGAGTTTTGGAGGTCATGGGTCATTTTAAGGAGGGCAGATTGAGTTGAATAGCCCGGTCGAAAGCCAGATTGGAATGGATTAATGGGGAACGTTCTTCTAGGAAGTTGGAAAATTGGTTTTGGACAAGGAGTTCCAGTGGTTTTGAGAGGTTGGAAAGAAGAGAAATAGGACGAAAGTTTGTTCAGTGAGGAAGGGTTAGAAGCTTTATTCAAAGGTCGGACTAGTGCAGTTTTCGAGGAAGAGGGGTATATGGAGTTTTGCAATGAAAAGTTGTAGATATGATAAAGTACTGGAATAAGGGTAGGAAGGCTGGATCTTATAAGTTTTATGGAAGATTGTCAGGACCATAATCGTTGGTGTGGGATTTTAGGATAGTGGAAAGTACTTCGTCGTAGGACACATGGGAAAAAAAGAAGTTTTCAGAATTAAAATTGTGGTGTTCAATATCATAAGTAGGAGAAGGATTAGAAGCAAATAATAAGAAATGGTCATTAAGATCATCTCTAGTCACAGGGAGGGAAAGTAGTATTTGTAGAACAAGATATTTTTTTCATCACAAACTGTGGCAAGCGGGACTTAGGTGAATGTTTCAATGCGGCCTGCGGAACTTGGTTGAGGTTTCTAGGTGGCCCACAGACCAAAAAGTTTGGAGACTCCTGAGTTAGCCAATGATGATTGTGTATGCACTCCTTCACAACTAGGCAATATGTCAACTCACCTATTATGTGTATTATAAGCCACCTGTTTTCATTTCACTAAGCTCTATAGGCTTAAGATGCTTGCCGACAGCTTCTTTAATGCTGGTAGACTTCACCAATCGGTAGACATTTCACATTACTAATGAAAACTTCACATTGTAAATACGATACTAGCTTCAAGTTCAACTACTACCACTACATAACGAGAGTTTAAAATGATAGACGATCCTTACATGATGGGAGCAATGGACAAACTGATGGAGCTTACAACAATGGATACACGAAGCTTTTTTTTAGGATAAGGCAAATTATACCTGTATTCTAAGCTTCTGGTTTCTTTTCCTCCTTCCATATTTTCTGGATTAGTTGTATTAACTTGGCTTTTAAGTCTTCCCCTTCATCTTTAACAGTTTTGATGGTAGGTTGTCCATCTTTGGAGCTTTCATGTTTTAAACCTTTCTATAATTATTTACACATCCAGTATATCTGGTTTTTCAACCTCTTCTGGACTGAGGTCCTCATTATGGTCCAAGTCTTCTTCGTTCATGAATTCTCTTTCCTCCAAACATATAATAATAATTATTTTCTGTATTTTTGCAACATTGATGACTAGAATTACCATTTCATATAAATCAAACTTAAACACCAGACTGTATTATATACGGGCAGTAAAAACTAAACTATTGGGAAACAATAAAATTATCCTTAAAGACCCATAAAATACTCTGGAAATACTCCTTTACAGTGTTCTAATAATTCCTACACTGACTAATTCAAAGCCTGGTATAAATAATTTAAATGAAATTAAGATTTAACGGAGAAACAGGTACTTGAAAATGGCTGGTACCATGCAATTTCTGTGAAAATGTGTTTTAAAAACTTCTTAATTGAAACAAAAAAAGAACATTCTTATTGATGTTACAAAAATCATGTTGACCTGAGTAATTATTACAAACCTTTGTTTATAACAAATACCTTCTTACCTTCATTAAAAAGTGATGCTGCTAAAGTAATCCCATTTGCTGGAAACTTGATTAAGTGTGTTCCTGAGCCATATGTTATGATTTGTTTAGCAAGGCTATACTCTCCTTCATACACTCCGTCCCCCAACACAATATTCCAAGAAGACAAAAGATCATTAAGAGCAGGGATGTTGGCACCTCCGGTATCAGGCATCCACCACTGCCTAATAATAAATAATTGCATTGAAATTTGTATATATAATAAATACACACACATACTTACAATTATTAATTAGTCAAAAAGTATTTAAACCAGTATTTTATCTTTAACAATGAAAAAAAGTTTTTTTAAGCCAGATAAATTAAATTAAAATCACATCACTAGAATTCGTATACTACATTTTAATGAGAAGAAAGAACTAAAGGTTTATGGTTAAGAGAAAATACATTGAATTATATATATATATATATATATATATATATATATATATATATATATATATATATATATATATATATATATATATATTTATATAATTACAACTTTTCCTTAATCGACCTTTGAGTATTAAATTTAAACTTAACTATTTAATATTATTAATTATTTAATATTTAAAAGTAGCTTAATATATGTGCTAGTGGACGGTGCTGAGACTGTCGGTGTGTCTCTGGCATGATCGAAGCTCTATTTTTTAAAATTCTAGCCTTGAAGAGGATCCCATGGTTGAATAATAAAAAGAAAATACCGGGATCGAAACGTCAATAAAGAGAAGAAATGAACATTCAATAGTTTATTAAATAATAATTAAATGACCTTATTCCCAATTAAATAGTTAAGTTTAAATATATATATATATATATATATATATATATATATATATATATATATATATATATATATATATATATATATATATATATATATATATATATACATTTACAAATAAGCTGAATCATTTAAAATACAAAAATTAAATTTTCTTCTTTAATGATTTTAACTTTTATACAATAATTTATTTTTACATTTTCATAAACCTTTTAAAATTAATTAATTAACAAGGCAATAAACACAGCGCCTATGGATTAGGTAGAGCAGATTTGGCGGTTCACATCTGAACGCCCGCTGCCTCCACACAAGAAATCCTTAAGATGGTCAGCAGTCAAGGTTCCAGCAGCAAAATCATCTTGCTCCCTATCTCGGCAATAGTGTTGCCCAAATGCAAGACCATCGCAAGACTTGGCTAGTCTTGGTCTTGGTCTTGCAGTGTTCACACCTGGTCTTGCACACTCAGCATTGGTCTTGGTCTTGCAGCAATAGTCCCGCAAGTCTTGCAATTACCTATTAGCCTATTACTGTTTATTAAACACATTAATTTATGTCTTAGATCAACACAAAAGAATAGATACACTGGAGCCTATCTTTTGACCTAGACATAGCAAAGTTCAACCAAATTTACTTGAATATACATAATTTAATGATATTGTCAAGATAGATAGTGATAGACCCTCACCTTAGATGGAATGTAAGGGGTTTGGTATAAAGACATTAAATACAATGTTAGAATTTATTGAAATAAAAACTAGAACACAAATTTAGTGTTTACAGTTTATTTAAACAATAACAACAATTTGGTCCGACCAGATGGCAACGTTTATTGGTCGGTACTAGTGTTGCCCAAACGTAAGATCAAGACGAGACCGAGGCGGTCTTGGTCTTGCATCAACAAACTTTAAATGTGTCCATTAGAAAAAAAACAAACAATTGAATTAGATTCATTTTCCTAAAAACCAATCAGTGAAATCATTAGGGTATGATTTCTTGGATGAACCAAGCAATGTAAATGGGCAAATGAAACACCATTAAAATCAGCTTATAAAAAACAATATACTGTAACTTAGCTGAAACTGGTCCGATTCAGATGATTTTTGACAATTTTGTCAGTACTTCAATGACCATTTAAAACATAGGCTTCAAAACAGACTCAGAAACCTTAAGATCTCTTGAAAACCGATAGGATGTACACGTGGTGAGTTAGCTCCCCAAAACAATTTTCTTTTCTATATAACTTTTTTCATGAATTTTCTCGGGGATTCACTAAATACACGAAAATATTATTTTCGATACTTAGAGATTATGAACGAGTGCCGCGCGTTCTTCACATTATTTAGTTTTCAATTTAGATTTTGATTGAAATCTTTCTCCATAACGGACTGCACACAGTGGTACCAAATGGACATGACACTTCTTCTACCAATACCCAATCAGGTCTAAACAATCCAGAGCCAGATTTTCTTGTTGTTCAATTGCACGTTGTTGAATTAAATTAAAGTATTGAAAAATATGTGCAATAGAGGCTGAATATGACTCACCAATAATTTCAGGTTTCATTGAATTGTTATAAAAATTTTGTTGATGTCCACTAAAATAATTTTCCATTTTTTAGAGACATACGCGTCGATTGAGCAAAAAAACACATTTAGTTTGCTCATCGGAAACCATTTCACATTGAAAGTAATTTTGGAAGTTCCATGGGAATTCTGTGCATTCCCATGCACATGATAATTCTACTGCAAATTTTTCGATTCCATCCGTTCTTTGTCAATTGTTCAAAACATTTATTGAGATGTCTAGATCAATAATTAACTAACAATAGCTGCCACCGTTGACTTGAGGGCTTTTGCAATTAATATTTGTCGACGTTTCTCAATACCAGTTACACGGAGGTAAACATGATAATAACCAGAGGTGTCCGCCATCGGCCTTGGGGGGGGGTGGGGAGATGGGCACTCCTGATAATAACTATCATGACCAGATTAACAATAAACATTAATGTAATTCTGTGTCATACGTTATATATCAAATAAAAAAAAAAAAGGAAAGATAAAAAATCGATAGGATGTACAGTAAAAAAATTATCAATTATAACAATGCAGAACTATAAGAAAAACAAAGAACAATTCATGGACGAGAATTAATTGATACGTATCCACAAAAGCATTTACAAAACAAGACTTACACGGTCTGGTCTTGGTCTTGCAATAATGTTTGTGGTCTTGGTCTTGGTCTTGCAAAAGTGCAAGATCAAGACCAAGACCGCAGGACCGAGACCAATTTTAGGCAACACTACTCGGAAACATTTAATAAATTTTAAAACGGAAGCAAAAACTCTTTGAAACTTTAAAAGACTCGAATATTTTTCCAGGTAAATACGAGACAGGCAAACATTTTTCAAGCTCAGAAATTAATGAAGGAAAATCTTCCACAATGCAGACACACTAGAAGGCAACTCATCATCCCAATCAACCTTAAGAAGCCACAAACGTTGTAATAGGCATTTAACAGAAAACATGACGGGACTGATATATCCATTTATGTCGAAAATCTTGGCAATGAAAGATAGAATACCTCACTTTGTAAAAACAGGCTCACTTTCCTGTATTGAATACCTGAAATGATCGAGTTTAGGATCTCATATCAAACCCAAAACCTTAACAGTCGAGGAATCTCCATCCAGGCACAACGGAATTTCTTGACTACTCTCGCGTATAACAGAAAGTACTTTATCGGAATTGCTGGAGAACTTTCTGAGCTCAAACCCACCTGCTCCACAATAGGCCATCAACTCATTGTACAGATCCAGAGCCTCATCACTATTGCGAGCAGCAGTGATTACGTTATCTACATAAATTTGGTCATGACACTGAGCAGTTTAGGAAAATTATGGCCTTCTTCCCGAAATAACTGTAGAATGACTCTGAGCAATAAAGGGAGAACATTTCAATCCAAATGGAAGGGTAACCAACTCATATTCCTGGATCGGCTGTGAAGATTCACTTCTCTAAAACAAAAAAAAAAACGCAATAGGTTCTGATTAGTTTCGGCAATGCGGATACACCTAAACATCATTTTTATATCGAATGTTAAGATATATCGCATGGATGAGATGTATTACCTACTCCAGACACCACAAGAAGACTAGCCCGGGAACGAAGGCGCAATTTTTTCACTAGATCAGTGGTAATTAAATTAATTTGTGAACCTGAATCCATCACCATTCTGCATGAATACCACTGACCTGAACTTGAAAAAATTCTACATAACGCTGTACCCAAAAGTAACTGTGAGTTGGTGGTAGCATTGCACGAAACTGCACGAGAATTATTTGTTACTTGCGACTGTGATGGCTCAGTGTTTGCAGCTTTATGCAATATTGTATGGTGACTCCTTTTTCCACAAACTTGGCAACAACCCTTACTTTGGCTATTCGGTAAGTGATGAGGTCCCGTACAAGAAAAGCATAAATCAGACTTTTTTAACAAGTCATAACGACCATTAACATCGGCATCCAAAAACTGAGAGCAATTTATAATTTTATAGCTTGATTTACAAACTGGGCACTCTAAATTAATTTTCTGTTTATTTGATCTATTGTGATTGCTGGTTAAAAATGTTTTTCACTGAACTTTAGGCTGGGTGGTTTTAGAAGGCTTGGAACACATTTCTGCAACTTCAAGTTGTGACCTAAAAAACTTGAAAAAATCTTCAAAGTTAGGAACCGTCTCTTCGCTGAGACTATTCTCAAACATTCTTCTTGTATTCAAGCCTACAAAGTTCAGTCCAATATGCAGCAAAATAAAATCAGCGAGATTGTGGAGTTTAAGATTTTTTAAGGCGTTATAATTATCCTCAAATCTTTCCAGAAAGCTTCTGAAGTAGGTAGAATTATCAACAGAAAAGGATTTAAACTGTTTAATTTTGTTAAGATGGTAGGCCACAATGATCCTTTTATTTCTGTAGTGCTTTATTAATTTATCATAGGCCAAGCTGTAATTTTCTGCATTAAACTAGATTGAAGAAATGGCCTGTGAAGCAGGATGAACTAAAAGTGATTTGAGGTATGAAAACTTTACTATTTCTGTATTTTTTACGATGATGAATCAAGGCATCAAATAATGATTTAAATGAGGAAAATTGTTCGTACTGACCGGAAAATGGAGAAATTTGCAAATCTGGCAATTGAGGGTACGCTACGGGTTCAGATATGGGCTGAGAAGCGGGAACTATGTGCTCAGCTTTAATTAATTTCTCGTGCGCAACTTTTATTTCATAATAAAGTTCTTCCGCTGCTAGAGATGGTGCGTTTCCTTGTATTCTATGTTCTTCATCTAATGATTCATTTAGCACAGAAATATTGTTCAACACAGCTTTAAATTCCTATAGTTT